ACAGACAGACAAAGAAAGAAAAACCTTCCCAAAATAGAATTTAGGTAAAATCACCACCTGTAGCACTGCCCTTTCAATAACCCTAACGAAGCTCAACTCTGTGTCACACCTGTCATTTAGATAATACAGACAGAAACCTTCCCTGCCATGTATGCTCAACTCCAGTTACCTGCACAGTAATAATCGGCCCTCCATTTTGATAGAGGAGAGGCTTCATCTTAGGCAGAAGGACTCCCAGCCACCTATCCACAGCGGCAAGGTAATCTGGAAAATAAGCCAGGTTTTACATCATCAGACATCATCACACACCATAAACAGACCCCAGGGCAGTTTTACTATACAAAAGCTATCAGCAAAATATATCCCGATTGGGGCTGGGGATTTAGCTCAGCGGCAAAGCGCCTGCCTGGCAAGCGCAAGGTCGTGAGTTCGGTTCCTGATACTGGAGAAAAACCAAAAAAAAAGAAAAAAAAAAAAATCCCGATTAACAACTCTCCTCTACAATGGGGGAACTATACATAAGAAAAATCTGGCTGGGTGTGATGGTGCACACCTGTTATCCCAGCACTCTGGGAGGCGGAGGCAAAAGAATCACAAGTTTGAGCTCAGCTTGGACAACTCTGCAACTTAGCAAGACCTGGTCTCAAAATAAAAATGAAATAAAATGGGCCTGGGGATATAGCTCAGTAAGAAGGCCCTGAGTTCAGTCTTGAGTACTAAAGGAAAAAAAAAAATCGGATACATATTGCCCTGCAGGCTAGTGTCTCCTTACAGCCGCTTCTCCGTGGACAAGCATAATATTCTTGGCATCTATCCTTGCCATGGACACGAAACCAGGTGCTCAGGAGACAGACAGGCCATGTTCACTAAACCACAAGAAGGGAGACTGAGTGCTATGTCTTCCTCTCAACTAAAACAAGTCACTTTTTCTTCTAAAATTAAAGCCTCATGAATTACATGTTTACATTATCAAAGGGGATAAGAAAAGCACATGCTTCATAAAGTTGCCATGATGATTGGGAATACGGGTGAAAACAGTAATCATATATAAAGACTGCTAAACAAAGGGTGATAGAGTAAGAGGAAAAGATACATACAGACACTAGCTTTCTATAAGCTAAACTTAACCCCTGTCAGCTGCTGTGTAACAACCTTTGCCATCCCCACAAGAAATTAGTCTTCAGGAAATGGGCATGCAACTAAAGGGATCTTCTGAGTGTTCAGGGCTTATAGCTGAAATAACCTTCCCTGGTTTAAAAGACAGAGAAGAACGGTATCATTCACCATTCGGTAAAAGCTGACATAGAAACAGAAGACACTGTAACTACCACACGACCCAGCAGACCTCTGTAGAAACTAAGTCTGCCATTTCGATTAGCAGATATTAATCACAGACTGTGTAACACATGAAGCATGTACGAAAGCAAGCAAGCACTGAAGTTAGTTGGTCAACCACAACCAGGGTTCAACGCCAAATCAGAGAGCTACCAGTTTATCAGGAAGATCGGTCAAGTAGTTCAACCAAGTCTATTTCCTATGTACTCAATGTCTGGTATACTGTCATGCATGGTAACTAACACTCACACTTTCACTAACTTTGAAAAGTATTTGTGCAGACATATCTGAGCTTTCAAAATACCTGACCCTTCTGATAAGTCTTTTAGAAAGTCTCTCAAGAGAGAGTAAGTAACAACTTACCTGGGTCAGAAGAGCGGAGAACAATAGACTGTTTCTCTAATAACCAAGCAGGTAATCCCCCCTAGGACAAGGGGAAAAAGGGGGAGCCATTATAATGTCATTTCATGAAGGAGTTTAGAGGAGACAGCAATTACTATCAGCAGTGGTGGAAAAGCAGAAACACTTCTGGTTAGTAACTTTCAGTGAAATTGGAATTTGGAATGTAGTAAAATTAAGATCATGCTGTTAAAGCAATGTTTTAAAGTCAAGACCCTTTTCATATAGATTATTCCGCTTGATTTCACACCTCTGTGAGGCGGACAGAGCTGACACCAGTAGCGGCCACTCACAGATAGGGAAACTGAGTTAGGTGAGTGACGACCAAGAGGAGAGCCGTGCTGTTGCCCAACCTGTTCTTCCCTGCTCGGGCACCTTCCCAGGTGACAGATACTGTGCTGGGTATGGCCACAGGCCAAGTCCACAGGACTGAGTGTTATTTAAACAGTTTTAATTCACTTTGTTCCGACCCCAATGCTGCTATCTCAGCCCTGTTCACACTTGCCAGAGAGCCAGAGCCAGGTCCAGCCAACTCACCATGTCCCACTCAGCACAGATGTAGGGCCCGGGCCTCAGGATGACCAGCAGTCCCAGCTTATGAGCAAGCTGAAGGAAATACTCCACGTCACGGTCCTCAGAAAACTCATAGTGTCCTGGATGGGGCTCATGGAAGTTCCAGGGCACATATCTGCGAAGACACACAGAGCACATTCCTGGACAGAGGCAGATTTGGGAAGCGGGGGAGGAGGGAGCAAGGGGCCTTCTCGGGACCACAGCTAACAGGTAGACATGAAGACAAAGAAGAGTGGGCAGGGTATTAGGAAAAATTATCCAGAACTTGGAAACAAAGCAAAAAAGATGACTACATTTCTATTATTGCTTAGATCTAGAATGCCACCCCCCCACACTTCTCTTGTAGGTAGAAGGCAGTTGGGTCATCAGAGTGGGCACTATAGTGACATGCTGTCGGGCCTGTCCTCATCAGACATGTGGTCACTAAGGTGTGACCTGGATGGGTAGATCTCTTTCCCTAGCTCCTCCTTTCACTCTTCGCTTCCTGGCCACAGGATGTGAGCAGCTTTTCTCTGCTGTGCCCCTTGGCCGTCTTGTTCTGCAGCAGAGCTGGTCAGCTGCGGACTAAACTGTAAGCCAAAATAAACCTCTCCTCCTTTAGGTTGTGAGTACCAAGTATTTTGTCCCAGTGATGAGAATTTCCTCTCCCTGTTATACTGGAGATTGTTCAGCATCACTGCACAAGGCTTCATTCAATCTCCAGGGAAAGTGTTTTGTGTAATTATTGATGTTGAATTAGGGAAAAGACTTGGGGTATTTTTGTTTTTGTTTTTGAGGCAGGGTCTTGCTATGTAGTCCAGGCTGGCCTTGAACTCACTATGTAGCCCAGGCTGGGCTTAGCCTTGCAACAATCCTCCTGCCTTTGCCTCCATGGTGCTGGGATTACCATCTGGGATTATCATGCCTGCCCGGAAAGATTTTTAAATTACAGATTGATTTGTACATCTTCTTCTACCTGGTATGGATACAAATGATTATTGTCATATAGAGAAGACAACTCCAAAAGTTACTATTTGACTGCCTTTTATAATAGTGACCAGTCTTACTTCTCAAGACAAATTCATATCACCATGGCTTTCTCCGCTAACTGTGAACCTCTCTTTCTCAAATTCTCTTTTGATTCAGCTTTACCATCTGGCTATAACCCTTAGTCATGAATTAAATAATTTGTTTTTTGGGGCTGGGAATGTAGCTCAGTGGAATCACACCTGCCTGGCAAGCACAAGGTCCCGAGTTCAAATCTCAGTACCAAAAAAAAAATTTGTTTTTGTCTTTGGTACTGGGGATTGAACCCAGGCCATTGTTAAGCAAGTGATCTACCACTGAGCAACAGTCCAGCCAGGAGGTAAACACATTTTTGACACACGTACACTATTTGTAAATCATGTTTTTATCTTTTCATAGTCTTCCTTTGTGTAAAGAACCACACTAGGTGGTGGACGCCTCTAATCCTGGCAGTCGGGAGGCTGAGGCAGGAGGATTTCAGAAAGTTCAAGGCCAGCCTACGTTACATAATGATTCAAGGCCAGCTGAACTACATAGTTCAGGCCAGCCTGAACTATAAGGTGAGACCGTGTCTCAAAAAAACCAAAAAACCAAAAACCAAAAACCCATTCTGTAGAAAGTACGGGAACACAGCTCAAACGTGCAGATCTCCTGAAGGGATTCTGAACTGAAAACTCAGGATCCAGAGCTCTTCCCTGCTTGTGGTCCCTGGGAAGAGGCCTTACTAGATGTTTTCACAGCAGCTATCCAAGCAAACCAAACTTTACTGGAACACTTACAGGTTTATGGACCACAAAGAAAGCCCACTCCCATTTAACCTTGATTTTAAAAAGAAAAATATATTCTGCCAGGCATGGTGCCCACTCCTGTAATCTCAGCTACTCAGGAGGCTGAGGCAGGATGATTGCAAGTTCAAGGCCAGCCTGGCAAGTTAGCAATAGCTTGTCTCAAAATAAAATTTAAAAGGGTTAGGATGTAGCTCAGGAGCAGAGAACTTGCTTAGCATGCAGGAAGCCCTGGGTTCAAACCTTGGTACCTCAAAAGAGAGAAAAACACAAGTCAGAAAACTTACTGAAATCTTTTTTGTGTGGAAGGGAGTCATCCCAGGGCCTAATGCATTCTGAGTATAGGCTCTCCACTGAGCTACACCTCCAGCTCCCCTTATCAAAACAATTGTTTCAGAAAGTGGTAGCAAAAAAATCTTTCAACACAGTGTAACTTTAAAATACAAAACTAGAATTACATAAATATGTTCTTATTATATAAAATTATATGTGCCTGTGTAAGACCTAGGAAAAATGAAAATATCTTCTTAAAATAGTAAGAAGTATAGTTGTTTTTTTTCCTATGATGCTCAGGATTGAACCCAGAGTTTCTTACATGCTAAACAAGTGTCCTACCACTGAGTTACCTCCCCAGAGCCAAAAATATATATATTTTTTGAAAAATAAACTTTGCAGGACTGGGATATAGCTCAGTGATGCAGCGCTTGCCTGGCAAGCACAAGGTCCTGAGTTCAATTCCTGGTACCAAAAAAACCCCCCAAAAACTATGAGGTGTGGTGATGCATACTGTAATTCTAATTACTCAGGAGGCTGAGGCAGGAGGGTCAAAAGTTAGAGGTTAACGTGGGCAATTTAGGGTGACTCTGGCTCAAAACAGAGGAACTGAGGATGTAGCTCAGTGTGCACCCCTGTGTTCAATAACCAGCATGGTAGGTGGGGGGTTGCAACAGGAAAACCTCTAGCCCCTACACAAAAGATTTCGTCAGAAGTAGCATGGCAGGAAGTAAAGTGACCCAAGCTCCCACCAGCTCCCTATATCCCTAGAGCACAGGATACACATTTAAATATGAGGCCACCCATTCCTAGCACAGAGGTCTCCTTCATGACCTCACTTGTGTTTTTCTTCCCTCTATAATCCCATGACTTCAGGGCTCCCTGGAACAGACAACTTTGGTCTATCACAACTGTGTGTGGAAATTAGTAAGAGGTGACACTGGTTTCACTCTGCCAGTGACCTCAGAACAAGAATGAGTGGGACTCTCCCCAGCCATCTCCTAGACTGTCTAAAGATTTTCTCATTCTTATCTTTAAAGAGTTATCAGCAATCCACATCAGCACTGCAAAACCAGAGTGGCCAGCCACACCAACTTTCTTCCCAGTTAGTCACCAGCAACAGCAGCAGACAGCAGGGGAGGGGTAACTAGGGGGAGATTCCGAAGCCTGGGCCTGCCCAATGACCCGAGCAGAACCAAGGTAATAACAGCTCCAGGAATTTCCCTAAGCAGAGGCTTATTCTCCTTGGAGTCAGGAGAAGCTATGTGACACCCTTATGTTCAAACCCTAGCTGGGCTTCTAACCTAATATACACCCTTCGGCAAACTTCAGTTTCACCAGCTGTAAATGGGGATGGAAATGCCTGCCTCAGAGACGTGGGATCACTGGTGTAAACTGCACCATGCCTGGTAAGTGCTCATCACTGTTGTCTTTGCTTTGGAAGCTAATGCTTATTTTATGATCTCTGGTGATAAAGTGCAAGTCTGGAGAAGCAGTTAATTATCCGAAGAAGGGACAGCCAAGCTCATGACAAGCCCCTCCCAGGAGGCCACTCTGTACTACGTCTCGTTTCTGAGTGATGAGGCAGCTGTTCTGAGAGAGCGGATGTACCCCTTCCAGGTGTGGGCACTGAGGCCCAGGTGACAGCCACATGCCCGCTTACTTACGTCTGGATAGCATTCAGGCCGGCCATCTTCATCTTCAGCAGACGGTCTGCCCAGTAGAAGCGGGGCACCCGGGAGTAGTGGATACTTCCTGAGATGTAGCGAAAAGGCTGCCCGTCCTTGAGGAAGCGGTCCCTGCTGTAGTCGATCTCAAATGTCCGCTGGGAAGCATTCTACAGAGCAAAGAGAGGGCCCCATGAGCACGTCCACCTTCTCCGTGTCGCAGATTCTGTGATGGTGGCAGGCAACGCCCTGCCTACTTGACATAATGTGATGATGGGGTTACTGCTGTTTCTGGGCTGTCACACAAACCCCTGCTAGGCTGACCCGCTGTGCGCACCAGGTAACAGAAAGCATCGGGGGAGGGTCCATGGCAGGACAGCTCCAGAGGCCTGCTCCAGCCAACCAACGAGAGGCTGAGATTATATTCCAGGGCACTATTCACTGGGTTTGGGAACAGAACACACATCGCATCTGCAATGATCTGGGGTACAGGATGGAGGGAATTTTAGGTAACATCTTTCAAATTATAGGCCACGATTCCATTTGTGAAAGATGAACTCAACTGGGTGGTAATCCGCAGCTTTTTAAAATGAAAGAACAGAAAATATCAGAGTCTACTGCACATAGCAAAGTATTCCTTTATGAAACTTTTGTTGTATGTACTGGACTTCTGTGTAGTTGTGTATGCATGCGTGTCTCCCCTGGGTTGCAACGTAAGCTGTGTTTCTAACAGTCAAAATTTTGAGAAACACCATTTTGGTGTCACTTTAGGATTTGAAAGGGAAGATCTCAGAGGCGCTGATTTTTAGGCAGAGTAGAACACTGCACTCTGGTGGATGAAAAAGGCAGCAACAGGTACTTACACAACTCCCACTCAGGGCCACTTGTGGGGAAACCAAGTCCCATAAGTGGCTCCAAGATGCTTCCCTCTAGCACAGCAAAAACCCAAGGGGTACATGGTGAGGTCCAGGTGGTAAGACAGGAGTCGGAGCTGATGCTGCAGCAGGAACAGATGGAATGGAACCAGGCATGGGGCGTGAGGGCAAGTTTCCAACAGGAAGGAAGAAACACCCAACTGTGGTTCTTACCCTCAGCCACACACCAGAAATACCTGCACAAGCTTTTTGTTCTTGTTTTTTTCAGGACTGGGGATTGAAACCAGGGCCTTCACACCTAGCTACATCCCCAGCTCTTTTTATTTTCTTATTTTGAGACAGGATCTTGCTAAGTCACTCAGTTGCCAAGACTGAGCTCAAACCTGTGATCCCCTGCCTCAGCATCCCACCTCCCAAAGTGCTGGGATGATAAACATAGGTTACCATGCCCGGCTGAGGTTTTTTGTTTGCTTCTGTGGTACTAAGAATTGAACACGGGACCTTGTATGTTCGCTTTACCACTGAGCTATATCCCCAGAACATTTTTATTTTGGGATACAACCTCATTAAGTTGCCCATGCCAGCCTTGAATTTGGAACTACCCTGCCACAGCCTCTTTAGTAGCTAGGATTACAGGTATGCACACTGTACCTGACCTGTACAACCTTTTAAAAGCAGCATTCAGGTTTCACCTCCAGACATGCAGGTTTTAATTGGTCTTGGGTGGCAACCTGGTGTTAGTATTTCTTATGGCAATGTGCAGCCAGGGTTGAGAAGCAGTGACCTGAGCAAAACCTTTCATGAAGAGAGTCAGCCACGGTGGGTGGTACCACAAATGGAGAAAACCACCTGTGTAATGACTGCCAGGGTGAGGGCAGAACTGCATAAAGGAGCCACAGCACTGCAATGTGCTAAAGTGTGACAGCTTCTGGAGCAGAGGCAGTGGGCAAGGATGGAAGGAATGGACTCTCAAGTGCAGGATCAAGGGCCTGGACTTTATGCCAAAATCCCAAGTAACAATTTAAATGAAAGAATGATTGAATCAGACATCTGTTCCAATGTTTGGCTAGCTGGCCTTTTCCTGGAGGACTAAAAGGGAAGCAGACCATGGGCCATGGTAGTGACAATGAGGTGGGCAGAAGGCAGGCAGCAGAACCTATAGGACTGGGTTGCTGGTGAGATGCAAGACACGGAAATCTCACCTGCAAAGGCTCCCATAGGCCTCAGGGATAATCTGAGCATGGGCTGGGGGTGGGGGACTCACTTAAAAGATATAAACTGAAAAAGGAAAATGACTGTATCGGGAGCCAAGGATGTAGCCCTGGGTTTGATCCGTAGTACCACATTTAAAAAAGAAAAAAAGTGGCACATACTTCTAATTCCTGTACTCAGGAGGCTGAGGCAGGAGGACCTCAAATTCAAGGCCAACCTGGACCACATAGTAAATTCACAGCTGACCTGAACTATATAGCAAGACACTGTCTTCAGAAGGAGGGAGGAAAGGAAAAAGGGAAGAGGGAAGATGCCTACAGATATTAATACCTATGACTTTATAATAACACATAGAGGGAAAAATTCATTACTCACATTTGGGTATTGCAAAAGTACCAATTCACTGTTCTGAAAAATGATAAATACAGAGAAGTAGCCAAACATTTTACTTCCATTTCACATAAAACCTGTATTTCAGGATAACAAAAAAGTTCAGAGCAAATTCTTCACAAAATTACATCTAATAAGTGCAGAATAAAATAATATGGAAAATGCCCTTTCCTAACACAGTGAAATGAATTTAAACTATAATTATCAATGGATACTAAAACCATGAGAAATATTAATGGAAATTTTACACAAAGATGGGGATGGGCAGATTCCACAAGATACCTGTAGAGCTTCAGGTTATGCCGATTGCAGCAGCCACCTTGAGTCCTAACCTTCAGGACACTCAGACGCTGGTACCATGAGTGGTGTGAATGTGCCTGATATCTTATATTAGCTTGAGATAAGCCAGGTATATTAGGTCTTAGATAATGTAACTTTTGTCCCAATCAATATGTATGTCCCTTCTTCAGGCCCAAACTGTGGGAATCCACTTGTCTTACTGCTACCCAGGACAATTTTTGCCAGTAAGTTCCCCCAAATTGCATTCTGCAACCCTGCATCTCTTTACTCTTATACAGTGGTACCAGGTTTTCCCACAACACCCCACTGACTCAGTTTCTACTTCAGTATAAAACAATCAGATATTATATCTCTCATGTTTTGATTCAACATGAAGTGCACAGTCCCACTTAGGAAATGGTCCTCATTATGGAACCTAAATCATAACTGAACCTGAATCTAACAATTTCATAAAGCAGGGGTCCCCAACTCCCAGGCCACAGACTAGGCGGCACAGCAAGAGTAGGATGGCAGGTGAGCAAGTGAAGCTTTACCTGTATTTATAGCTGCTTCCCATTGCTTGCTTTACCTCCTCAGTTCTGCTTTCTGTCAATCAGCAGTGCACTGGATTCTTACAGGAGTGTGAGCCCTACTGTGACCTGGGTGTGCCCTACATGTGCAGGACCTGGGTTGTATGCTCCTTATGAGAATCTAATCCTAAGACCATCCCCCTTCCTGGTCTGTGGAAAAACAGTCTTCCATGAAATTGGTCCCTGGTGCCAAAAAGGTTGGGAATCAAAAAGCAGCCAAAGAGCCAAAAATTGCCAAAAAGCAGCAATAAGTCAAATCAAACATATGTGACATTCCAAAAGTCCAATGACATAGTTGCTCCAAATCAATGATCTTAAAAGAAAGGGAATATCAGAAAATAAAAGAAAACAGGAGAAATAATAGCCTAATGTAATGTATGAACCTGTTCTGATTTCTGATTTTAACGAACAAAAGGGCCAGGATGTAGATCAGTGGAAGAGCACCTGCCTAGCATGTCCTAGATTAAATCCCCAATACTACCAAAAAAGATTTATGTAGGAAAAATCTGAATATAGATCAGGCATTGTATAGTATTAAAAGAGTTATCATTAATTCTACAATAATTCATATAGCAATAGCAGTGATATTTATGTGAAAGAAAACATGTTCTCATCAGTTAAAGATGGATACAGAAGTAAATGAGAAGAATAACATGACATCTGAGATCTGCCTAAAAATACTGTAAGCCAAAAAGAAAAAGAAGAAACAAAACAAAACTAAGAAGGCGTGTATAGTTAAATGGATAACAACTGAAGTCGGTGATATGGACATGGGTATTGTCTCTGTCTGATGTTTGGAAAGTTTTATAATAAAAATTATATTAAAAATCCATTTACCCTTCCCCAAGGATTTTCTCCATGATGTACTTTCAAATGTACAATTTGGTTTTTACTGCAATATTGTTTAAATAAAATTATCCTTCAAAAGTAAGTATTGTAAGAGAAACAACAGTCTATGTTCACAAAAAGACTTTAAAATGATCACAGCAGTGCTCATAATAGTACAAAACAAAATAATACAAATGTCTATGAATAGAAAAATGTATAGACAAACTATAGTATACACATATGGTAGAATACTGCTCAGGACTAAAACAAGAACAAACTACTAGTATTTGCAGTAACATGAATAAATCCCCAAATTGTGATTGAAAGAAGCCTTACAACAAAAGAGTTCATACTGAATGAACCTATTTATATGACATCTTAGAACAGGCAAACCTAACTTATTATTATGCTTTTGATCCAACACATCCTCCAAAACTCTTGTGTTCAGAGGTGGGTCTTGATCAGGAGCAGGTCACACCAGAGGCCTGACTTGAGTGTATTCTTTTCACTGGCTCCTTCCTTACATCCTTCTGCCATACCATGTCTACCTTGGAGCCAACCAACCATGGACTGAATCCTCTGAAAATCATGACCCAAAATAAATAAATCTCTCCCCCTTTAAGTTATGAGTAATGAGTATTTTGTCCTAGTGATGGGAAAGTGACTGATAAGGGAAACTGGTAAAAGAGAATTGGTGTCACTGCTGTGACTATACCTAACTATGAGGTTTAGAAGTCTTTGGAAATGGTTTCAGAAGGGAGTTTGGAAAAGGTTTGGAGATGTAGACTACAGAAACCTTACAATGCTGTAAAGAAAGCAGGCCTAAAGAGTGATTCTCATTTGACCTCAGAAGGCCAGAACACTGACAGGACTGCAGAAAGTAAAAATTAAGCTCACAAGGCTTCAGTTGAAAAGGATGACCTATTGGAAACTGGACTGCAGGCCATGTGTGTTATACCGTTGTTTTTTTTTTTTTTTAAGTCTACATATTTTTCC